TACTGGTTTGGAAATAGGATTGTTTATGGAACAAATTACTGTGTAACAGAGATGGAATTGATTACTTGAGTGTTTCATGCGTAAGTTAGACATATGCATGGTCTCGTATGATTACAACAAATTGGCTATCTTCAGCTATTCTTATGGTCTTTGAGTGTCATTGCATTAAGCAACCGACAGCTGCTAAGGCGGAGATCAGGAGCTAGTGCTCTCCCCTGCAAGATCAATGGTGTGTGTGTGCTCACCTAATTGTGCTTGCGGGGGTTGAGCTCTGGCTCTTTGGTCCCGCCTCTCAACTGTCAATCAACTGGTGTACAGGTTCCTGAGCCTACTGGGCTCTATCATATCTACATTTGAAACTGTGTATGGAGTCAGCCTCCGCCACATCACTGCCTAGTGCATTCCATTTATTAACTACTCTGACACTGAAAAAATTCTTTCTAACGTCTCTGTGGCTCATCTGTGTGTGTGTATGTGTGTGTGTGTGTGTGTGTGTGTGTGTGTGTGTGTGTGTGTGTGTGTGTGTGTGTGTGTGTGTGTGTGTGTGTGTGTGTGTGTCCTCACGTGTTTATCAGACACCTGGCTCAGACGGCGACACAGCTGACATCACCCAACAGGAAGCCATAAACACCTACGCCTTTCTTTTACAGACCCTTGCAATAAACGGCAAACGGAAGCTCCTATTGTTACTATAATGGTAGCCTCTATATCCACTATAGTGGTAGTCACTGTAACTCCCTATGATTAAGTCACTGTTTTCACTATAACGGCAGTGGATTACTGTAAAAGCTCCATAACTACGTTGTGTATTTCATATAACAAATATTGTTAATGCTTTCAGCCATTCGTGAATGCAGAACGAGCTTTAGCTCTTGGTCCCACCTGCAGGTTGTCGATCACCTACTGCAATGGTTCTAACCATCTTGCTTCGTATCTTAGAAACTATTTATGGAGTAAATTTCAGTGTTCCTTCAGGTCGTTGTGAGGGGGAATTGCAGTTTAATGTACTCACCTATTTGTGCTTGCGGGGGTTGGTTTGGCTCTTTGGTCCCGCCTCTCAACTGTCAGTCAACTGGTGTACAGATTCCTGAGCCTATTGGGTTCTATCATATCTACATTTGAAACTGTGTATGGAGTCAGCCTCCACCACATAACTCCACTACGGGCTCACCATAGCCCGTGCTACTTGGAACTTTGTTCCAGGTAGCGAATCTTTAACAACAACAACAACTCCACCACATCACTGCCTAATGCATTCCATTTACTAACTACTCTGACACTGAAAAAGTTCTTTCTAACGTCTCTGTGGCTCATTTGGGTACTCAGCTTCCACCTGTGTCCCCTTGTTCGCGTACCACCCGTGCTGAAGAGTTTGTCTTTGTCCACTCTGTCAATTGCCCTGAGAATTTTGTAGGTGGTTATCATGTCTCCCCTTACTCTTTCTTCTGTCTTCCAGGGACTTGAGTTTCAGCTCCTTTAGCCCTTCCTGCTAATGTGTTCGAGACATTGTGAGGAGAAATTGTAGCCTCATGTTTTACAGGTCATTGTGACGGGTCGTTGTGAGGGTAGGGTAGCTGAAGTAGATTTCTATACTTCATAACTTCCCGGGCGAAAACTAGTCAAAATAATAACACTAACATCAAATAATATGTATTATTATATAATAACTAATTTGGAAGCAGCAGCCTCGTATAATCCGGGCGATAATAACAGTTTAGTGGAACATTCATCGACGCTAGTTTGTTGTCATCTAGTTTGTCGTTGTTCATCCTGTTTGTCTCTGTCCGTCCTGCCGCACCGCGCCATCCGTGTGAGACAATCACTAGAGACCAGCCCGTCAGATGGAGCCTTCCCTCAATAGTGTTTCATAAGCTAGACTCCCTTCCCTACGCCTTCCCTCACATCTGGCCTTCCCTCACACCTGGCCTTCCCTCAAACTACACCTTCCCTCACACTTGGCCTTCCCTCACACCTGGCCATCCCTCACACCTGGCCTTCCCTCAAACTACACCTTCCCTCACACCTGGCCTTCTCTCAACACGTGCCTGACCATCCCTCACACACCTGGTACACTGTGCAATAACGAACTCGAGGGCCAGGATTCAACAAGCATTTGCGTACACTTACGAAACCACTACATCTTTTCCAAGATAGATGGCAGTTAATTGGCACAATATCCAAGGCTGACGTTACTCTTGGATTCAAGGTGGAAAGGTGTATGGATTCAAGGTGGAAAGGTGTACATGTTTACGTAGCAAAAGATGAGAGATAGGCTGCGTATTCTACCGCGAACAGCTAACACAGCGTGGAATTAAAATTGCTTTACAAATGACCCTTACTTTTTGTGTTAGGGTAACGAGGATGGTGGAATTTTAATGAATTATGCATCTGTCTGCTAATGTGTCATCGTTGTTCGACCTTAACCCACTTAGTGCGCCATGCTTGATGCTCGTTTTCTGTTCATTATAATATGTACGGGATTTCTACATTGTTTCGGTGTTATGTCGAGTCACTTCATTTTTATATATGTGTTCCGGGGTAGGAGAAAGGTCGTAACACCTCTCATTCCATTATAGAAGTTTAATTTGAAGATGACAACCATTTAGCTTATATTGAGAGACTTATACTACTCAAGTCTTCATGAGACGGACTGATTATTGTGTATGGCTGATTTACGTCTTCTAATAGAAATATATATAATTTCATTGCTTCGTTCTACCGTCATATTATTTTGCCTTTTGCTTTACTTCACAATAATTATGATTTGCCTCGCCAAACCACACAGCCTAAACCAAGACTAATTAAATCCCTCAATCTTAATATTTTAATTAATTTGAATTACATAAGTTACCCATAACATAAAATAATTGGGCTGACAAGAGACTATTTTTCTTTGGAAATCACCAAGATTTGCCCAATATCGCGCGAAATTTACATAATGTCCAATTTTCTGTTCGGGGCCCTCTGGTAGATTAGGATAAGGCACTTATTTACGATAGTATCCTGACGCTGGAAACGCTTGCGAGAACGGGCTGTATCGGAACCTGTCCTCAGGCTAGGCTCTTTAAAGGGGCGGGTGACCCCCCAAGGCGCATTCATAAATTTTAACGTATTGTGTATTAAAAATAGGTTTCTTCTCATTTATAAAGCAATATTGATATATATATTCAGGTTCTATGCATAGTTAGGTTAGGTTTTATTTCTGTTGGTAATTATTTGTATTTGTAGTACGTCGGTGAAGCATTTACAGCGTTGCGATTCGAACAGAGGTAATCAGTGAAACACTGTTTCGGAAATGTTCGAACGTCATCAGTTGTGAATCGTGTGTAAACCGTTTAACTTTCCTTCATAAACAGAGAGTTTAACGGCTAGATTAACAAGCATTTGGCCTTTGTTGATGAGAAAGGATTGCGATATCATGTACAACGTGCTGCAGTAGAGGGTTGCTCTCGACTCACAATCAGGAATCCTGAGGTTCGAATCCCGGGTGAGACAGAAAAATAGTTGGGCGCGTTTCCTATCACCTAATACCTCGGCTCAGCTAGCAGAACAATTAATACCCAGCAGTTAATCAACTGTAGTGAAATTGCATTCTGGGAAGAGAAATAGTAATTCGGCCTTGGGGGGAGTGGGGACTCGATATTAGCCTAGAGTAAATGGGTAACTCTAATTGTTATAGAGTTACCCCATTTACTATGATTCGTCGCTGCCATGTCAACAGAGCACCATGCAGGAAGCCCAACAGCCAATAATGCAGGAAGCCCAACAGACCACCATGCAGGAAGCCTAACAGACCACCATGCAGGAAGCCCAACAGCATGTAGGAAACCTCCATAGTATCCGCTGTTCCTCGCGGGCTCACCAACTCTTGGCAATGACCTTGTGAAGCTTCCCCTTGACAGCGACACTGACACTGACCGTGGCAGTGGCCGTGTTCCATCTATCTAGGCAACAGGTGTTTCCGCCCCAGTACCAGAATAGGCATGGCCTTGGCCAGGGGTGGGGGGCGCTAGGCTATCTCTCATCTCCACTGAATGTTATGGGGCTCTTATGGTATAGCATGGTGTTGTATGGTTCGGTATGTCATTCTATGGTATGGTATACTATAAACTATTAGCCAAATTCAAGTCTATATCCATGACAAATCTATCTGCGCGGACATGCATTTATGACACGAAACCAATGCGGTTTTTAAACAAAAATATACTGGTGGACAGGATGTATATTATATATTATATATATATATTATATATAATATACGTAAAACAGCATAACGTACAACATCCTTCAACTATAACATGGTAAACATACAAGTTTTTAATAACATAACTTCCTAATTACCTTGGTTTGGTGTTGGCCTTAACGCCTCTCAGCCTATGGAATCTTATCAAGGCAACAGCTTACTGACATCGAGCAAAAATATTCCTGGACTGAAGTAAACTCTCGGTGTATATATATACTCAGTGTATATATCCCTTCGCTAATTTCTTTCTTGGCGTCGTATTTTTTATCTCTAAATCAGATACAATACACTTTTTCCCCGAATCTTTATGTATTGTCTACCGTATAAAAATAAAAATCACTATGTACCACGAATGTAAATTCTAATATGCAAAATTTAATTGTATATGTCTATACATAACTATTCAGTCAGGAATCACAGCATAAGGTGATAAGACTCGTAGTATAGAAGGGGTCGTGTGGACACTCGCTAATTATTGAATTAAATGTATTTGTAACAAGCAAACAAGCATGATAATAACACATGCACCCACGTATGTTTCTAGACCAATATACACTAAGAGTTTACTTAAGTTTGAATTATATACAGGACTAAATAGCTCCTGCTGCTTGGAGAGTGAGCTAATATCACAACCTCAGTAAGCACTCGGAGATTATGAGCTTCTCAACAACACTACCACCACCAGCAGTTAACGAGCACGACCTGGAAGCCCTGACGAGGCGCAAACGAGCTTCTGACCCGAGGAAAGGTGAAGACGAGGTTAGGCGGGAGGAACGGGTCAGTGGTGGTCATAGACGTGCAGTGAACGGATATTTATTTTAGCTTGTGGTGAATTCTGGGTTGATTTTTATTCAAAGGATTCGTAGTGCTGCATTAGATAGCCCAGTGTTATTGTTTTGGGTGTATTTTGCAGTTTTGGTTAAAAGAAATAGTTCGGATATTAAAATGTCTCCTGTTAAATACTGTTCTTCCATAACGCGTAAGAACTCTGTTATCGGGATCTTGCTGCTAATGGCGTGTACTTTACCCGTGGTAAGTATCCTGCAACTTATATTTTTTCTTCTTAAAGGTTGGAGTGGGAGTGCAATATTATGGGAAACAACATTTTAAGTTGCGAGTTATTGCATACTTGTGGTTTTAACGGAATTGTAGCTTATTGTAGACAGACCAGAATGGTCTGATTAACCCTATGTAAGATCCTCAAATAGTTTAGTTTAGTTTAATTTGCTCCAAATATTTGGTTAATTATTAAATTCTAATTTGATAATGGCTGGAAAGACTGCACTGTTCGGCCTTCTCTAATTAAGAAAACTATGTATTATGAAAACAAAGTTGGCATGAAAGTGTAGTAAAACATCATTGTAATAGACATGTTAAGTTCACAAATTTGTGCACATTAACGTTAAAGTGGAGGCAGGCGGGCGGAATGTAGATATACGAACTTTACTTACATTTACTCTAGATTTGGGAGGGGGGTGATATCCTTGCGTGAACCGGTTGTCTTAAAGCTACAAGGTTTAAGTTTTTGCCTAGTTTAATTTATATATATTACATAAATCTTGTGTGCAGGATACCGGGTTTTCCTCTAAATCTCTTCCCCCCCCCCCCCCCAAATACTTTAGTTTTTAACTACATAATTTTTTTTTTTTTTTTTCAGAATGGTGTCTGGCCTCTATGGAACCCGCCAGCCAGATCAACAACAGTGTCTCCTCCTGTCGATGACAAAGTGTCGTCGCCAGAGCAGGCTGTAGCCTCGTCTACGCTGGTCCCACCTCCAGTCCCAATAATCTGCACAACACCTGCGCCAGTTCTCACCACGCAGCGCTACAATCCTAATCGCGCTGGGGATGTCCTTGTTCCTGGATCCTTCGCGAGTCCCAGGGTGAGGCTTGGGGTAGTCCTGGCTCAAGAACTGTTGAGGTTGTTTATGCACTACACTACAGCCCGTTTCAAGAGGGACATGTCGCGAGACATCAAGCCTCTCGCATTGGTCAGGGATTCTCTGAAATTTTGTCTATTGGCTTACATGGGTGAGTATTAGTGTATATAGTAGAAAATAAAATGATTTACGGGCTATTAATGCCCGTGTCACCTCTTAGGTGGTTTAATCTTCATCATTCACTCGAATGACTAGCTTGACGCTCTCAAAATGACATGCAATGGCTTAGGCCTACGTAGACATTAGATATTTGAAGTTTTGTTTAATGCATAATTTAACTAGTCTTTAACTGCTGTTCAGGGTATCACAAAGAGCAAGAATGCATAGAGCGAGCGGCATGTGAGGCAGGAGAGCTAATGAGTCGGTACATTCCTGGAATGCCTCTAATGTTCGTAGCCCTCGACTACATCGTCCCTGGACAGTACCGTCCACTAGTCAGGCTGGCGAAAGATGCGGCGGAAGGCAACGTATGCGTCTATTATAGGTATGTGCCTTCAAACGAGTAGCATTTGATGTACATTGCAAAGTTGTGAATATGCAGGTAGATTAAACTCTGACGTTCTCCGTATCAAGAGTTGCGTAACCCTCTTAAACTAGGGTATTTAATGCTACAATGTTCCTTGGTGAAGGGAAACCACATTTAAGTTTCTTAAACGGTTTAAGATTGACAATTTCGGATTTGGGTAAAATGTCTTAATACAATGATTTGCCCACAGATGCGGGGTCTTGCCTTACGTACCAGACAGGCCGCAATAGGCGTCAAGCACAGTTGGTGGAAGTTCAATTGGACTTGTCAAATTCTGCATGTAAATAAAAAGCCTAGTGTAGAGTTTTTGCCTAAAAGTTTATGAAAGTCTTTTAGTCCTGCCTTCTAAAACTAGACTGACAGCACTTGCAAGGACATGTTAGTTCCTGCATGTGGAGAAAGAACTGTATTAGTATGTAAATAAGAGTAATGTTACTGATTTATATTTTTCTTTAGACATGACATTTTGATCTACTCAATTGTGTGGTATGTTAGTCGGTTTTAATTTTTACTAATGAACTTTTAATAAAAGGCAAATTTTTATGGCTATTTATATCCCATGGTATAAGTTTAAAAGTCGCTCATTGGTTTTCTTTAAATGCCTGAAAGACCTTCAAAGACTAGTTCGTCTGTACCGCCACCTGGTTGTAAGTACTCTTAAATTTACTTAGCTGATCAACCATGGAAGGCTTTTTATAACAAGTGGCTGCGTATATTGACCTTTAAATATATTGGCTCACCCAATCTTGAGTTTTTCATTGCATATCTATTTTATTGATCGTAATCCCTAGGTTAATTTTTTTTATTTCGGTCTATTATTCTTACGTGCTAAGAATTCTTTCTACGGAAAAGTGTATTGCGAAAAGTATTACGGAAGTACCTTTCTACGAAAAGTACTTGCGTAATATTGATTGGTATTCCTTCATAACAAAGCGGAAACAAACTTTACAAAATACATTGGGTGCTGTAAATGTACGCTAATATACGTGGGGAAAAAATACGCTACGATGTGGCACCTGGATAAGGACTAGCTCAAATGACTTAATCCGGTAATTTAGCTTTAATTAGTGCCTGGTCATGCTCTACAGTACTTCCAGGCTGAAAAGTTTATTTAACCCTCGGTTCTCGGATGGTAGACAAATCTACACGAGACAGTAGAGCCCATCAGTGACTTTTAAGCCGACCTTGAGTAATGTTAAGAAAATTCTTCCTAAGACTACGAACCCTCAAACTGTCTCCCGCTCGAGCAACTCTATCGGTAACACTCTAGTTTGGCTTCCGTTGGCTGTGTCCCTGATACATCAAATATCGGTAGCACTTTTAAGTTGATGGTACGAATGCTTCAAATTTGACCATTACACAAGAAAATGTACTGAAGATCGGAAAGTGCAGCAACTTCTCAAACACTTAAAAATGCAAAAACTAACTTTTTCTAAATTTCCACTTTAACATTCTTTTGGTCGGTTGTCTACTCTAGTATTTAAACAAACTTGTTCCGTTATTTTCACATGTTACCGCAGCTGATTGCGTTAATATTTGGCTTAAGCGCCCATTTGTATAAATCCCGTGTCTGGCGACAGGAAGCATGAGCAGAGAGAGATCTCGGCGCAAACACCACCGAGACTACGTGAATAGGTATATCAGATGAAAGGAAACTTGCCCAACCATTTGTCCCGCCAGAGGAAAAATTATGGGATCCTAGACAATCGAAGCCTTAAGACAACTGTACGCCATAATTCTGTGCATGGAGTAAAAGATGTACAAATGCTTAGCAAATAAACCTTAGCCTAGCAAACATTACACGGGTGGAAACGGCAGCCTAAATTTGTAATCAAATTCATAGGCCTAACAATAGATAATTCACATGGTTAGCGGTTACTCTTAATGTTTCGTTAGATCCAAAAGCTGAATTGTTGAAAGCCAGTAGAAATGTAAAGATCTTGAACGATAGTATCGGTACTCACCGTCGAGGAAGCTGGCAGCTTGCCCCACCACACACGCCCAGATAAACACCGCCATCAGAGATGTTGTTGATGATGCCGCCGCCGCCATAGCTAAACACTAAATATCACTTAAGATTCGACCTGAATATTAGGTTAATTACGCAAAGGTAGATAATTAACAGGCGAAATTCTCTCTATTAATAGTATGAATTTTTTGGTGTGCTTGGAGCGCGCTAGACGGTTATGGGTGATCACCACAAGCGCGGCTGTGTTTATGTACCTCGACACAAGGTCTTGTTTCCCTTTACGTCACTCATGGTGGTCGCATGACCTTGGCAGGGAAAGTGGTTAGGGTGACAGGCAGGGAGTAATATGACGAATGCATCACAGACCCGCTACCCCCCACCCACCAAGGGAGGTCATTTTTCACCACAGATCCATCACCCTTCCTCCTCCTCCTCCCTTTTGGTGTATAATTTTGGTGAAGTTGACTGGAAGGGGATGGGATGGTTGGGAGATGCTATACTGGCCATGCCTCCCATCTCCCTCGTCTGTATCCCCCCCCTCTACATCTCCGCCCTTCTACAGCGCTATTTGCCCCCTCTACAACGTCCCGTTATTAATTATTACCAGTATTACCGTTATGGTCGTCAAAATGTAATCAATATTGCTTGTCGGGGGTGAGAGCACTGGGGGGTCGTCCTGGTAGTGTGGGGGACACTAAGAGGTCCGCCTGGTAGATTCAATGTGTGATTGGATGGTGTGCGGAGGGAACCGCTGTCCATGTTTCCAAGAATAAACTGGCTTTATGAGGAAGATTCCACCACCACTAACAACCTGTCCTCCTACAAAGAACGTCGCATTTCGATCGTATGCGTTACACAAGGCCAAAAATTGTCGTACCTAACAATGGAAGCGGCTCCCGAAAGTGACGGACTGTCCTGTTTTCTGTTTTATGTCTTCTGATAGGTTAGGAGAGGACAAATAATTTGACCGGTTTTCTTGACATTGGGAAACCTTAGGAGGACGGACTGACCGTCGCCACTAATTACTGTCCATAGCCACCACCTTTGCCAAAGAATCTGCCTTCAAAGAAGCCTCAGAGCAACAATACACAAAGAACTTAAAAAAAATTGTGGATCAGAGGCAAAGTGAAATCTACGCATGCAGTTCCATTTATCATCATGCCATCACGCATGACTAGTCGCATATCTATGGATTGACCAATAAAATCAGAAGACGTACTACTGTTTGGCTTAGACTCGGTTATAAGTATCTCTGGGAGTTTGCATTGCACACCTATGTAGATCTGGCCAAATATAAAGTCAGCAAAATTATTCGCACACCCTCCGTCACTAATGTGATGTAGTGCAAAAAGATAACATGAATTTAGAGACGGCTCTATAATACATGTTCAAGTACTGTGTAAATGTTTAATTAAATATCTGCCAGAAATTTGGCCCAATTATAATCAGTGTGCTAACGTAGGTAGTAAATGCGGGTGATTGTAACCTTTCCACCACCGCCCACTAAATGGAGAGCGGTGTACATAAGCAAATCAAATTACAAAACTGGCTCATTGCAAACCTAAGTTGCTTAGCTTAGAAACTGTTCATGTAGTCGTTCTCGCGCCAATTCTTGATATATACTTTAGGCTGCGTGACAAGTTTATCACGACTGTAACTTGCTTACCAAAATATTTTTTGGAATACAGTTCCTGAGCCCATTAGTGTTTGTGTTGCCTTTTCTACTACCGCCCACGAGATGGGTATGGGGTCCACTACCACCAACGAGATGGGTATGGGGTCCACTACCACCAACGAGATGGGTATGGGGTCCACTACCACCAACGAGATGGGTATGGGGTCCACTACCCCGCACGGGATGGGTATGGGGTCCACTACCACCAACGAGATGGGTATGGGGTCCACTACCACCGACGAGATGGGTATGGGGTCCACTACCCCGCACGGGATGGGTATGGGGTCCACTACCCCGCACGGGATGGGTATGGGGTCCACTACCACCAACGGAATAGGTATGGGGGTCCACTACCACCAACGGAATAGGTATGGGGGGTCCACTACCCCACACGGGATGGGTTTTCGGTGCATGATAAATGCACTAAAACTAAATTACTATTCACTGGTGCTAATCACTGCGAATAAAACTACCATCATTTTTTACAATCGCTGTTATTGCAATTTTTACTTCTCAACGTTGATGCAAAATGACAATTGCAAGTGTCCATCGATGACGTGAATTAGTCAACTTCCTCAATGTTTAAAAATTCTGAAGGCTGCGTCCTTGCATTGTAGTAAACTTGTGTCCATGGTTATTGCAAGGCTTTATGGGAGGCAGAGGATGCTCATCATTCCCCCCCTCTTTTCCCATGAATACATTCCTCCCCCCCCCCCCTCAAAGTTAAATTCCTCCCCCCCCCTCAAAGTTAAATTCCTCCCCCCCCCCCCCTCAAAGTTAAATTCCTCCCCCCCCCCTCAAAGTTAAATTCCTCCCCCCCCCCTCTGTGTACATTCCTGATCCCCTCTTAAAAAAGGGTATATCCTTCTCCCACTCTTACATATTTTAAGGTTGATATATTAATTTGATATACATGAGTATAATAATCATGTGGGGATATATTAAGAAGGGAATATATCGAACTGAAAGTATATCGAGGAATATATAAACGAAGCAAATATAGCCTAGGAGGGGGATATTCCTGGTTGAAATTTGTCAAGGAAAAGGTTCATATCCCTTTATGGGGAAGGGGTGTTTAATATAAGGGAGAGATGGTTTTAATACGTGGAGATAGGATGTTTAACGTGTGGGGGAAGGGTTGATGTGTGGGGTTTATGGTGAGGGTACGAGGGGTGTTACTAGGAAAGGTTGAGGGAGGCCCCATGGACCACCTTCCAGTAACGTATAATACATGCGGGCGAACGCACATATGATTAAAAACACGATTTGTTATCCACGTTAAACGGGTAGATTTTCTTTGATCTGAAGTGCTTGGCAGCCGAGTACCCACTAGGAAATACTGTTGAATTAGTCTTAGTACTATGAAAAACTGATGACTTACTACTGATAAAATATTGTGGTCTAAATTACTTGAAACAGAAACTGAGATCAAACGACGAGGCTACTGACTACCTTGAGGTGTTTTCGGGGCTTTGCTTCTCCGCGGCCCGGTCATCGACTAGGCCTCCGACTACATCACAGACGCTGTAAAGCCATGAAATGTAACAGCAGACTGTAGTGGTAGCCTAATCCGTCCTCTCGTGTTGTCACGACACCATAAAAATGACGTACTGAATTGCCCGAACCTAACCCAGGACCCATGGATAGCAAACGAGACAAGCAGTCCATTTTTAAGCACCTCTCAGTGATTACCAGGAGACAAGGACAAGGAATACAATACTAAGGAAGAATAGGAGCAGCGATCATACTCACAGGATTTCAACCAAACTGAGACAGAATAGAAAGCAAGCTTTCTAGGAAAGTTAAGCAGCCCAGATCTCAACTATTGCATATAATTCCCGTTCTCAGGGACAGGACGCCTTAATTTAAACTTTGAGATCCACTAGATTAACTATTTACCTTCCCAGGATGCAACACACGTCCAACTCCTGGGTATCTGTTTAACTGCTAGGTGAACAAAGGCTTTAGGGAACGGAAGCGAGCTCAACCGGGTTTCTAAATTGTAGACTGAGGACGTCGACTACTATGCTACAAGACTCCACGAAGACTATATAAGTAGGTTCAAAGTTGCTGAAGCTCCTTCAAGGGCGGACTACGAGACAGACAGACAGAGAGAGAGAGAGAGAGAGGGAGGGTGGGGAGAGAGGGGGGGGTACAAATACCAGTAGTGAAAGTGTGTCAATGGAAAAAAAACAGATAAGCAGGAGAGAAGCACATACAAGGAAAAATATGCTTTTATATAGAAAGAATGAATATGAACACGTCCGGGAATACTTAAAGAATATACATGCAGTGAGACACAGAACTAAGAGGTAAACACATCTGATACATGAGTATGCATGATAAACAACTGTTCAAAAGGCACTAGGCACGTAAACTCAACAAAGGAATAGGGTATTGGTGAAATAATTCATAAACAAATTTGGGTAAACCCAAGAGGTTCATAAGTACCTAGTGCTAAGAAAGGTACTTTAATATGGCCGATTATTTTCTTCGAAAATTAACTCCTAATTTTCCCTCCAGACCAGAGGAAAAAAATAATAATAGTCGTGAAACCCAAACTGGAATATATTTATAATATATAGATAATATTGAAATCAGGCAGAGTTGGTATTTTATATATATATATATATGGACAAAATATAGATAATATAAGGGAAAGGGGGTCATATATGGAACGAATAATTGTTATGAGGATGCGAGCAGTACAATGAGGAAGTTACAAAGTTTAAATGGAAATTTAAGTGAAGTAATAGCGGAAATAGGATGTGTAATGGAGACCTAGGTCATGTAGAAGGTGACTAGGGGGCGGTTTGAGGATACAAAGGGAGGCTGGGGATACAATAGGGGGAAGATAAAGGTGTTATAGGGAAATGCGAACAGTGATGAAATATTAGACCCTCGGAGGTCCTCGGACCAGCTGGTACGATAAAAGGTCTAGATTTCCGTGAATTGAATACCCTTTTTTGAGGTGTGGGGAGAGGATGGGGGGAGATGGGGTGATGTGAAGAAGATGGAAAGGTACAGGTGAAGGATTAACTTTTTAAATGGGAAATATAATACGAGTTATGATTGCAGACGGGCCGTCCGCCTTGCTGACACGATTTGCGTGGGTGTGTATATGTGTGTAGGTGTGTATGTGTGTGTGAGGAACTTCATATGTATTTCAACATATATTAATGTCTGTAGATGAATACTGCGACATTTGGGACATATGACAAACCGCCGGCTTCCTATCCTCGTCGAAGCCACTTAAGAGCGTTACATACACGCTCCGATGCTTAGTTACATGTTATAATTAATGTTATTGTTTAGAGTACTTAACCGGTTCCAGTACTTAATAGGTTGGTTAGTGTAAAGGTGGGGGAAGGGAAGGGGAGCAAGTTAACAACGGGGAGGGAGTTAACAACGATTCTTCCCGGCGGGGATCGTATTCCAGGGACCTGCCCGAAACGCTACGCGTACTAGTGGCTGTACAAGAATGTAACAACTCTTGTATATATCTCAAAGTGTGAGGGGTGAGGAGTGGTGAGGGGTGAGGAATGGCAAGTGTGAGGGGGTAGCAGGGATGGGGAAGAGAGAAAGTACCCACAAAGGTTACCCAATCTTTCCATGCCAGCCAGGTAGGTATCTTGCTCTTCAGCCTTACTCTTCTCCTTCATGTTGAGGCTGGCGAGAGGTGAGGAGAACCCGCTAGGACGTGTGTGTGTGGGGGGGGGGGAGAGGTAGGGAGGGAGGTAGGAAGGAAAGGTAAATACTGAAATGAAGAGGGCTGGTCGACCTTGTCCCAGTGCTGCTCCCCTGATAACTGGGTTAGCAGGTGAGGGGGCTGTGTTTGTGTACGATCACGATACCGCACGCCATCATAACATTACTCAGCCTCCTCTGAGCAGTAGGGTCTAAAACCTGTACCTGTATGCGCATCATGACGTCATAGAGACGTCGCCCACTTCGTCGTCGTCGTACATAACACACAACAATTTATCTTATTTCCTTTAGGATGGGGTTGTCTATGGATTGAGGAAAGTTGTACACGTTCGTAAGTACTTGCGTAACTGCTTCGTGAATCTGGCCCCGGTCTCTATAAGTCTAAATGCAGGCTTCCGGTCCCCAACAATGGGATATGTCATCTCTCATTCAGTGTTGTGATAAGCCAACTTTCTTCGTGGAAAGTTGTTCAGCTTAAACACACAGATATCACAATAGCGTGATACATCAAATGAACAAATCTGCAAGGGCCGTGATGAGGATTCGAACCTACGTCCGAGATGATCCCAGATGCGCCTTAGTTGATTGTGCCACGACATGGTTAAATCCCCCAGGAAACTTACTGGATCTCACTGCGGGATCCAGTAAGTTCAGTATAACTTCGGTTTCAACTCTTTTTTTTTTTTAACCCTGTCGTAGCTCAGTCGATTAAGGTAGTGTCTGGGATGCTCCCGGACGCAGGTTCGAATCCTCGTCACGGCCCTTGTGGATTTGTTCGTTAAATCCTCCCTTTGTACCATTATATATAGCTGAAGGGAGCAGTTGAGAAATGATACGATAAAATGAAAACATATCCTGCTGGAGGGAGCCCGAACAAAATATGAAAACGCTTCCTTAAGGCTCGGTAAAATGACGGGGCCAGAAGCGGACCTACACACACACACTGGCTGCCTGTCCCCTGACACGACACAATGAATTATTATTACTTATTATACTCCAGAATGGGCCTCACATCTGTCACGTACGACACTCTTGAAGCCTCATCCTTCTATATAGGTTCCTGAATGTTATTCTTAGTTGTACAGAATTATCATTTTTTGTTTTGTACTTATCCATTCGTGTATCTCATTGGTGCTAAATGACATTATTCTGAACGTATGTCAACTAATGACGTCATATGTGTACAGTGAGAAGGTTATGAAAGCTCAGCTGACACGTGACGTCACAAGGACGCCTGCATATACCCTGCAGTCTCAAATGAAACAGAACATTTACGGGCTATTCATGCCCATGCCACCTCTTGGGTGGCTTAATCTTTATCAATCAATCAATAGTTTTGTTACTGCATTGGCCTAGTGTGTGTGTGTGTGTGTGGATCCTACCACTTGGACTGGACGGAAGAATGACCGGTCTCACTTCATGCAGGTCAGCGTTCAATCCCCGACTGTCCAAGTGCTTAGGCACCATTCCTCCCCCCCTCCCCCCGTCCCATCCCAAATCCTTTTTATCCTGATCCCTACCAAGTGCTTTATAGTGGTAATAATTTGGCACTTTCTCCTGATAGTTTCCTTCCATGGTATGTCTGTGTGCTCACCTAGCTGTGTGTGTAATTACCTAAGTGTAGTTACAGGATAAGAGCTACCCTCGTGGAGTCCCGTCTTCCCAATACTCTTTGTCATAAAACTCTTTAAAACTACTGACGGTTTTGGCCTCCACCTCACTCGTTCCAGTCGTCTATTACTGTTTGCAGGAGAAAACTTTATATTGTTTTTTGAGGTTTGTTTCCTTAATTTAAACCTATGCCCTATGTGTGAGTGTGTGTGTTTATATAATATATAATCTGCTGTACCTAACACCCAGAACCGTACTACTAGGCCTAGAAAGCAAGGACCGTTTTGCCTAACAGCTAAAGTGATTTGGTATCTATTAAAATATTTCTTTCAAAGTTCTAATTAACGACTAAGCCAAAATGGCACAGTTCAGTTCCCTCTACCATATGGAAAGCCAACGATGCACTCCGCAAGAATTGCTCGATTCCCGAGTACCTATTTTGCTGCTAGGTGAACAGAGGCATCAAGTGTAAGGAAACGTGCTCGACCGTTTCTGTCCTGCCCGGGAATATAATTCGGGCCCCTTGGTTGTGAGCCAAATGCGTAGACCACTGTGGTACAGATATTAGACAATACGAAAACAAGTTCGTACATACATCAAGTTCGTACACACATCAAGTTCGTATACACAACATCAAGTTCGTATACACAACATCAAGTTCGTACACACATCAAGTTCGTATACACAACATCAAGTTCGTATACACAACATCAAGTTCGTACACACAACATCAAGTTCGTACAGACATCAAGTTCGTACAGACAACATCAAGTTCGTACACTCAACATCAAGTTCGTACACACAACATGAAGTTCGTACACAACATCTGAAACCGATAGCGGTTTTACCCCGAAGATCAACGGAAGAAATCTCCCTTAAAGAAAACTTTAGCATTAGAAGAAAACAAACGACTTTTCTGAGTGAAGAATAAGATTATCAAAGATTAGTTAGGAGGGGGATTATGGGAAGGGAACTATCAAGAGAAAGCACCAAGCCATCACTGACTATATATAGTCGTGATATGGGTTGGTGCCATTACGGCTATATTCCCATATAGGATTATGGGAATGATAGACACAATAGATACAGTTAGGGAGATTATGAGAGATACAGGCCGTCGTGGACCAGATGCAAGCCATACTGAACTAATGGAGCACAAGGGGAGAGCAGTGATCGACATTAACTCAAGAGTGGTACTGCAAAGCTTCATAAAAAGTCAGGCAGAAAACAGAGACAGTAGCCGAAATCAGGAAAACTGTGAAAATGTCATCTAGCCAGGGAAGGAAATGAAGTTTCTGTAGATTGTTCTCATGATGAAATCAGTTGGAATGAATGAACATATGTCCTGGCTGCTGAAGGAGACAATATTGAATACTTCATCCCGAAACACATTTACAAATCAAGGGCATATCATCAAACATCACCACCATAACAGAGTACTCCATTTGGTCACCACTTGGTCCGGGAGACATCTCTCGTCACGCAGGGTGCATTTGCACCTGCACAGACCTCCATTATCATCTTTTGATACTGGTAATGACTCAAAAGGGCCACCACTTACGGGCTATTCATGCCCGTGCCACCTCTTGGGTGGCTTAATCTTCATCAATCAGCAATCATAACAAAGTAACCCACGAAAGGAGGATGCAACAGTAAGCCGACAGTGAATCTGTACGTTGATAATGCAGTCGTAGCCGGCAACCTTCATTTTTATTATGGACGAAAAGGCTAGGTGGCCGGAAGGAAAAGATTGCAATTCAGAAGTCATCTTGGATATACGTTCCTTTGAAGATCCGGAATGGAAACAATATAGCCGAGCAGCGAAGTTATTGCAGAATTTGCAGCACAAGTAAGGGACATCATCTGCACCACTATCGTAGAGATTGTGCCCATTTAAGAGATATTAGGAACATTGTATGTACTAGCTCTATTTATAAATCCATTAACTTTTGTATCTTACCTTGTATGTATGTACCTTACCTGAATAAAAAAATGTATTTATTTATTTATTTAAATTTATGAGTACACTATGAATTACGTTGAGTTAGGAAAGAAAGCACTTTTTGTCATATAAGTAATGTCCTCACAAGGTTTTTATCATTTTGCGCCCGCAAGATAACGCAAACTTGAAGATTGTACGATGTTAATCCCTTGTTTAACAGCCTCTTCACTTGAGACTGGACAGTAGAATAGACGGTCTCGCTTCATACAGGTCGGCGTTCAATCCCCGACCGTCCAAGTGGTTGGGCACTATTCCTCCCCCCCCCCCCGTCCTATCTCGAATCTTTCTCCTGATCCCCTCCTAGTGCTATACAGTTGTAATGGCTCGGCGCTTTCTCCAAGTTACAGCCCCCGCTCCTGTGCCAGATTAGTCCACTACGGGCTCGCCATAGCCCGTGCTACTTTTGGAACTGTTTGTTCTCAGTAGCTGAATCTTATAAACAACAATGCTTTCTCCTAATAATTCCCTTCACTTGAGACAGTTAAGTCTCAAATTCTTGTTAAAACAAGAATGCAACAACTCTTGCATATATCTCAAAAAGTTCCAGCTGCGTCTGGGTAAAAATAACAGGATACCTTGAGGATGAACAATCCTGCAGCGGGATTTCTTCCTATCGGGGAGTGTTGCACATACTGCTGTGTTCAGTCATAGGATGAATGAGGCTGTCCAATTAACTAGTCTTCCATGGCCAAGTAAATTTAATCCAGCTACAAGCCATCGTGGACCAGCTGCAGCCACCGTGGACCAGCTGCAGGCCACCGCGGACCAGCTGCAGGCAGGCCACCATGAACCAGCTACAGGCCACCATGAACCAGCTACAGGCCAATATGAACCAGCTACAGGCCACCATGAGCCAGCTGCAGGCCACCATGAGCCAGCTGAAGCAAGGAGCCGCCAGCCGTGGCTCACTTGTCAGCGCGGGCGCCTTCCTTACCACAACAACAGTGGCAGAAGGAGGATGGCCTGCGGGAGGGAGCCGCTGCCCACGCCACCGCTCTCTTCAGGTACTATGGCCCTTCCCCCTCCTGTTCCCTGGCCACTTATGGCCCGGGGAGGTGGCTGGAGAGTCCAGTAAGGGAGGGGTGGCCCAGCCCTGGACCACAGATGGCCCGCCTGGCCACTTCCTCGTGGGATAGACAGACAATTCAGCTGTGGAGTGGGATGACTCGTGTATGTGTAGGGTTTGTAAGGGCCATGTCGTAGGTCAGGTCTTAGAGGGAGGGGATTATGGAATTGGGGTCGTGTTGAGGACCATGGTAAGGGCCATGATGTTGGTCTTGTGGTAGGTTATGTTGTAGGTCGTGTCATGTTATGTTAAGGGTCATAATGGTAGGGGGTTAGTCTTGTGGGCCTTGTTGACGTTATGGTCATGCTGTCAGCAGTTGGTGCCAGTCCTGACCACACTAGGAGGAGGGTTCTCAGTCCTGACCACACTAGGAGGAGGGTTCTCAGTCCTGACCACACTAGGAGGGGGGTCTCAGTCCTGACCACACTAGGAGGGGGGTCTCAGTCCTGACCACACTAGGAGGAGGGTTCTCAGTCCTGACCACACTAGGAGGGGGGTCTCAGTCCTAACCACACTAGGAGGAGGGTTCTCAGTCCTGACCACACTAGGAGGGGGGTCTCAGTCCTGACCACACTAGGAGGAGGGTTCTCAGTCCTGACCACACTAGGAGGGGGTCTCAGTCCTAACCACACTAGGAGGGGGGTCTCAGTCCTGACCACACTAGGAGGGGGGTCTCAGTCCTGACCACACTAGGAGGAGGGTTCTCAGTCCTGACCACATTAGGGGAGTCTCAGTCTTTACTACATTAAGGGGGTGGGGGTGGTCTCAGTCCTGCCCACACTAGGGGGGTCTCAGTCCTGACCACACTAGGAGGGGGTCTCAGTCCTGACCACACTAGGAGGGGGGTCTCAGTCCTGACCACATTAGGGGGGGTCTCAGTCCTGACCACATTAGGGGAGTCTCAGTCCTGCCCACACTAGGGGGTGGGGGTCTCAATAGTACAGTGAGTACATACTTGACTGAAAACTAAGGGTCCCAGTTTCGATCCCTGGGTGGGACGAGGGGTTGAGCACGTTTCTTTTCACCTAATACCCCTATTCACATAGCAGTAAATGGGTATTCAAGCATTCGCACAATTGTTGAGGTTATATCCTGGGGAAGGTCAGTAGTTCATTCTTGAGGGGTTGGGGGGGAGGGACCTTTATACTACACTAAAATATACATTTTACGCAGGCTTTCTGACCCCAACAGATTGAATCGTTAGTACCTGCACTGATTGTACTCCTACATGTGTGTCTGCATAGGTGTTAAGAATCAATACATATCAATTGGAAGTTACAGTCCCCGTGGTAATTACCTAAGTGTAATTACCTAAGTGTAGTTACAGGATGAGAGCTACGCTCGTGGTGTCCCGTCTTCCCAGCACTCTTTGTCATATAACGCTTTGAAACTACTGACGGTCTTGGCCTCCACCACCTTCACCACTTGGTGTAGTGGTTAAGATGCTCGTCTGGCGTTTTGGGAGCATTTTGTCCTGGGTTCGTAACCTGGCCGGGGAGGATTTACTGGGCGTCAATCCTTAACTGTAGCTTCTGTTTACCCAACAGTAAAATGGGTACCTGGTTGTTAAACGATTTGGCGGGGTCGTATTCCAGAGAATATTAGGATTAAGGACCTGCCCGAAACACTATGCATGCTAGTGGCTGTACAAGAATGTAAGAACTCTTGTAGATATAAGTAAATAAATAAATAAAATAAAATTTGTGCCAGATGCTCGCTGCATTTTGTTACAAATTTGGAATTAATGTTTGCAGTTTAATCAGGCTAGCTCTCTTTATATGAAAATGTGGACCATTTTGGATGACATTCAGTGCATTTTGAAACATTAGTTGACACCTTTTGATTTTTGAACCCTTTCTTTACCTATAGGATCAAATGAAGAGTAACACACAATCCAGACACACAAATGAAAAGTAACATTCGTGAACTTTATTGATGCTAAACTTATCATCAAAGACAACGCCACCCCTCATCTCACCACCTTGTAAAAATTAATGTCTGCTAACAGACATTGCATCTGTTAGATATGTTAATTTGATGGGCCTACACCCAAGATGTCATCTACAATGTAGTTTTTCTCAACTTGGGTCACTAAGAGTGAACTCGGTAATGTGATATATCCGAGAAAATACAAAAATAGTGAAGGCGTGTGATTTGATTTTAACTTTGGTGTTTACATCACTTTTACCCTTTTTTGTTTTTTCTTTTTGCTTCAACAATGTTCTTTCATAGTAAATTTAATGCTTGCTTTATTATAAATGTCAGGTCATACATGTTGCATATTCGGTATTATATGGTGTGTAGACTGTAGAGTAAAGCACTGGTCTGTACAGTATTTCATCATGAGTTTACTAATGATCAGTTATGCTGTACTGTATATCCTTACTGGTTTAAGTACATGTACAATTTTTGTGTGCCCCTTACAGATGGCTTTGTGACAGCAGCGACAATGATGGGTGAAGGCTTCCAGGATTTAACTCGCTTCCACCCCAATCATGGCGTCAACGTCATGCTCTACGATGAAAACACCGTTGCGTATAGGTAAGGAGTTTGGCCATTATTATCATGTCTTATGTCTTGTCATTTCTGTCCTGGACCCCTCGATGGCTCCTTTAATCTCAAGAAAGTAATTTGAGCATTTTGGATGTCGGTTCGTGGGGGAGGGGGAACCTTTCCCCCCCCTTGTCGGCTAAGTTAGAGAATTTGAACCTTAAATTCTCTGAACTGGTGATACAGCACTACACTATGAACCCTTGCTAACCAGTTTAAAATATGTTTACAGACAGATAAAATATATATATATACTGTACAGTGTATGTAATTATATATGATTTATAATTATGAAAAAAAAATGTTAGCACATGATTAAAAACCATGTGATTTGGATGGTTATAGTGTGTGTGTAGAACAATTAAATTTTAGTTCCCAGTGTTTTGCAACATTCTTTGTTTTTTCTGGTCTCTCCAAATTCTGTCTTTTTTCCAAGATTTGCCATCTCTCCAGATCCACAGTGTCTGGCATCTTTCAAAATTTATTGCAACTTTACAGTGCTTCAACATTCATGATGGCATTATTAGTGTTATTCATATTTCATATGTATACCTGCTGCATAGGTGGCAGTTTCTCTCCTGTATCAACCTAGCCTGGCTTTGCGCCCTGGAGAGGCCACTCCAGACCGACAACCAGAGTGCAACTCCATAGTCTCCTGAGACTGATGGATGCCTACTCCTACTACGTATTTCATTTCCAGAAAAGCCAGTTTTGCCAATGCGGTGACGATTAGTGAACGCCCCTTGATGCCTGAGGAGATCTTCTTGGTAGAAATAGAGAAGACCGAGCCGGGCTGGACAGGCCACATGAGGTTGGGTCTGACACAGCTTGACCCAGCAAATCTGGCATTGCCGGAACTGCCTCCATACTCCCTACCCGACATGACCAATATGGGTAAGATGCTTATTAATGTTTTGACCATTATTGGGTTTTAAAATTCTTTTCCTCGCCAGGACCCATCCCCCACGGCCACCTGCTCTCATCCCCCACTGCCATCCCCCCACTGCCACCCACTCCCATCCCCCACTTCAACCCACTCCCATCCCCCACTTCCACCCACCACTATCTACCACTGTCACCCACCACCACTCTTCTATCCTTCAGTATCACTCGCTACCACCTTGCACTTATGTAACCTCCCCTGTAATCTTTGCACCTATTATGCAATATTAAACCATCTTATGTGTATTTGCACTTTGAGGAGTACAATTGAATCACTCCTAGTTTTATTTTTTTCAGGTAACTCGTGGATATGTGCCATCACAAAAAGTCATAATCGTGTTCAGCCAGATGCAGAGGGGGAGGCTGAAGGTGATGAGGCACCGGTGGATGTACAAGGAACAGAGGCACCGGCGGACGTACAAGGAACAGATGGCACAGACGAGCAGAGGGAAGACGTCCAGAGGCCCGAGGTTATGGAAGAGGGCGTAAGAATGGGAACAGAAAACTCGCACATGCAGGAGAGAAGAGCTGCTGATGTGGGTGGAGGTGATGGAGCCAATGGTGATGCCCTCGAGGTGTTGAGGATACATAACAACAGATGTAAAGGTGCCATGAGCAGCGGAGGGCCTCGAGGGCTCGATTCTATAGTCGTCGGCAACCACCTGCAAACGTCTCGTGGGTTGGTGCCATGGTCGTCCTTGAAGCCCACACCTTATGTCTTCACTGATTCTTCGGGTAGAAAAATAACTCTTAAGAGAGACAATATTTTGCCAACAGATGAGGGCAGTAGGATTGGCATCATCTATTTACCGAGGGTAAGTATTTGGATAAATTATTTTTTTATTAAGGGTTTAATTACTGTACATTACTGTACATGCAAAATTTATTTTTTGATATGAAAAGACGGGGTTAAGTACTGTATATGTGAAAAAAAGATGCTTCCATAAGGGAAGTTTGTGACACATGCCAGTCATTGGGTATGAAGAATGTCCACTTTGGCTTCAGACGTTGTTCCTAAAAACTATAGTACGTAATTTTGCATGGAACAGCCTTCACGATTCATTTTATGCACTTGGTCTCTTGTTGCAAAATTAAAGGTCTATGATTGGCTGCCAGAAAGCAATTGCCTGCAGTGTACAATTAGCACTAAAAGAGTTGGTGTCTGTAGAGTATCATTCAATGAATTGTGTAATTCTGCTTTATCCTATGTCTTTTTGTATGTGTATAATTGTTTTTCTTATCATTGTTTGAAATGAAATAATGTAATCATAAAATATATACTTTGTGTTCATAATGAAAAGTCTTTTGTACAGTTTATTTATATTTTACAGGGAAATTTGGCTGAAATGCACTATATTATCAATGGGGAAGATCAAGGAGCATTTACCAAAAAGCTGCCATACAGAGAGGCTCCTCTGTATGTTGTCGTTGATGTATACGGCACCACAAAGCAAGTTAGGATAATTCAGCTCTATGGTGTGTATTTGCTACACACCCATATGTGGTGCATATAAAAGCACAGTATAGCTTAAACTTTATAGTGTGCATAATGCTAGAATCCTGCTGTGTACAAATATACACTTTTCCATTTTCTTGGTGTGGGGGTCATATTAGCCAGAGAGAAAAGGAGAATAATATACAGTACCTTTTTTGCTGTGCATAAAGCTATCATTTGGCTGTACGGCATGTATCATCGTGCCATTGGTGTGCATAATGATATAGTTCAGTTCTGCTGTGTGTGTGTGTAACAATTGATCAGCTGTTTGGGATCCTATACTGTAGTGGTCAGTGAAGTCAGTTTAAGAATGAATGGTCCCAAGTTGATTTTTTCTGGCAGAACAGACGTTTGGCCCAAGTTTCCTTTCATCTAATGCCGAAATGTGTGAGTGAGTGGCTTTGCATGAATACTTTATACCCAAGAATATAATATTTGCAAATGTGTATACTTTCACAACCAACTGTACCTTCTTGTTTATAAATAAAAAAAATATACGGTATTTACCTAGAGGTAAATAGGTAGTACCTGGGAATTAGGCAGCAGTTTAGGCTTGCATTCTGGAAGATGCAACCTAGCCTAGGGGGATCTTGATAATTTACTTGTATTTACCCGAGAGCCACTCTTTCTAGTGATCTCGATGAGCACAGGATGCCGGTGGCTTGTTGAAGGTTATCCACCCCCTTTCTCCTTATGATTTCATCAAGCTGGATTTTGATATTCAGTAGCATTTTGCTATTTATGGCTTTGGTGGGTAGGGGGTTCCATGGTTTTATAACTATGGGTTAAAAAGCATCTCCCATTTTCCATCCTGCATTGTGACTTGTTGAGCTTGAAAACGTTGCTTTGTCCCTGACAGTGGTGAACTGTAATTAGATTATTCAGCTGCTTAGTGTATATACTGTAATTCAGCTATTGTGTATAATGGGCTAGTTAATCTGAATGGTACATATAATGGAAGATATATTGGCACTATGGTATGTATAAATGGATAGCTCAGATGTATGGTCTGTATATTGGGATAGTTCAGATGTATGGTGTGTACATCAGTGAATGGAGAAGCCAAAACTTTGCATGAAAAGATATTTTAAAATGCAAATTTTGAACTAAATTTGTTTCAATTTCACATGTGTAATAATGGCAATATTTGTATGTAAAACATTAAGTAGAATGAAACTTTAATCCTCAATTTTGAATGTAATTCCCATTAACTGCTTGCATTACAGTGAAATCCCTGAAGAATGCGTGTCGGGAGACCATCCTCAAGCACATTGCTCAGCATGGCGTGAATGCTCTACCTCTTCCACGGAAACTGAAGGACTACCTTCTCTTTGAGAGCTGAGGTGTTGCGTGTTGCTGCCGACTTGGTAATGCCCTGCATATATTTTTGTCCCATTATTAGTACCTATTTTTTGTTATCTTAGTATTTTACACTATGCTTTCTGGTTGTGGGTGAAGTGCTAGTTTGTGTGAACAGGGCCTTAGTAAAGTAGGGTTTAAAGGTGAAAGAAATACCCAATATATGCATAAAAATATTTAAACCCATTTTTTTTTAGGGTTTTGAAGAAAACCATCTGAAAATTTGGTTTTTAATATATTTATACATATATTGGGTTTTCCTTTGCCTTCATTCAAGCACTGGCATTTATAGTAAGTTTCTTCAAAGTAGGGTTTCCTCTACCTTCCTTTGTACAGTGACATTATCATAACCATTGGGTTTGAGATTGTAAACAATTGATGTAGAAATAATGGAAGTATAAATTTAGATGGTGAGCAAGTCGAGCAGCTCTACCTCAGGACAGTGCCACTGATGCATCCTCTTGAAAGGAGGACCAGTAGGATGAGTACTACCATGGTTTCTGTGTGGTACTTCTTAGTAGCACATAGAATTGCCAAGACTTGTACACTTGTGCTAATTTTGTAGTCTTGTGTGTAAACAGACCTTCTTCTTGGAATACCTGTCCTTTAATGCAGAGAATTGATTGGAGGTCACAAATGTTATGTAGACTACCTCACAATCTTCCTAAGCATGTCATAACATTCATTCTTCATAACATTCAAAGTGAATACTTTCTTAAGGTCTTCTGTCTTGTCTACTTGTCTTCTGCTTCCTACTTGGGTGACACGTTCACTTGTCAATCTTAAGCTTCTCATACAATGTCCACCTCTGTTCCAAGGGCACATTATACAGTTACACCAAATATCTTAACACTTACCTCCATTGTGAAATTAATTAAAAATAAAATCCCCCATGCACTCTCACACTTAGAGACCTTCAAGCCACTAAGTTACATTGTGGACCAGAGGTGAACATCCTTCCAAGATGCATGCCTGACCTGTGCTCTCCTCCTGTGATATTCCTTTTCAGTCCTAGATAATATCCAAAGTGAATTATATATGTTGTTTCCTGGATTTCAGGTTCTTGTCACCCCCAGGATGTTGACAACGGAGAAGATGCTGGTGTACAGTGGCTGTGACTATAAAGGTACACTTGTGGTACCTGGTACTATAAGGGTACGATTGTGGTACCTGGGACTATAAGGGTACGATTGTGGTACCTGGGACGATAAGGGTACGAGTGTGGTACCTAGGACTATGTATAAGGGTACGATTGTGGTACCTAGGACTATGTATAAGGGTACGTTTGAAGTACCCAAGAGAGATTTGTTGTGCCCTGGCTCTACCCTCCAGCCTCCTTCCATGCTGATGCAAGTATGTCAATGTGTGTGAAAGAAGTCTGAAACTTTAAAATTATGATAGGATCAGGGAGGACACGTTAATTAGTGTGAAGACGAGTAAAAGTTGTATATATATATTTGTACGTATAATATATAAATATATTATATACAGTATATAAATATATATATATATACAGTATTATAAATATACAATATATATAAATGTACAATATATAAAAATATACATTATTCAGTATATATATATATTCACATTATATATATAAATTATTTTTTGTCCTTGATGCATGAGCTTTTTCTGACTGTTAACCAGAAAAGTAGATCTTGATTGTGACTAATTTGATATTGGTCTTTAATGGTATATTTTTTGTGATATAGTGTGAAAAGTATTGTTTGCAGTTATAAGTGAATCGCATGTCGGCTGTGGTTATAAGCATCTCGAAAAATGGGCACGACGCCAACGTTTTGTGTTGATTCGGAAACAAATAAAAGAGCCGTGGGGGTTACTGGACGCTCTCCATGGCACAGAGAGATTAGTGGCGCGGCGGGAGTGTTGTTTGGATTGTGCCGTATTATCTGTGATATAGTGTGTGCTCGTGCTCAACATCAGAGTTTGAGGTTTTAATGCGTGTTGTGAAAGTCTGGATTTCTGTTTTGCGAAAGTGAACACGAGAAGCGGTAGTTATTAGCTGGTAAGAACAGTTTGAGGTAGCAGTTGTTAACTGGTGTGAACAGGGAATAAGTTAACAGATGTTAACTGGTGTAAACAGTAAATTAGGAAACAGATGTTAACTTGTGTAAATGGAAAGAAAAAAAAGAGTAAAATCTGTGCAGTATTTATGGAGGCTTGCAATCAAAGAATTGAGATGTTCAAAGTTGGGCAGCTTGTGTGTGTGTGCGTGACTCCTATTTTGCAAACCAATTAAGACATTTTGAAAAGCAGGAATTCTATGTAAATAGCATTGTTAATAAATTTTGTGTTGTAATTAATTCATAGTGTGCATCATTGTCTTGCCGTGACGCAGCAACAGAGCCGAGATTACTGTCGTGTGTGGGAACAGGATGGGAGAGCGTTGCTCTTGGGTAACTCTCTACTAACGAGAGAGTTGCCCTTGCATATAAATGGCAGCAAACTAACATACAGTTGAGTGCAGATAACTGTGTGCTCTCTCACACAGATGCTTGTGTAGATAAATTTGTACATAACGCCAAATTGCAACATTTATTTGTACATATGAACAGAAACACAGTTTAAAATTGCATGCAACAGGCAAGTTGGAATATCTGGTTTTGAGAGGTCACTCTCCTAATATCGTGTGATCCGAGTTATACTTAATTGGCTTGTGTGTGGGGCACAAGTGTGATGTTCCCTGAACTGGAGCATCTGGAGGCTGCTGTTCCCTGAACTGGAGCATCTGGAGGCTGCTGTTCCCTGAACTGGAGCATCTGGAGGCTGCTGTTCCCTGAACTGGAGCATCTGGAGGCTGCTGTTCCCTGAACTGGAGCATCTGGAGGCTGCTGTTCCCTGAACTAGAGCATCTGGATGTTACTGTTCCCTGAACTTTAACCACTGCAGTGCAGTGCCAAGCGATGCTTTCATTTCATCATTAGAATTAAAATGTATTTGCAGGATCGCGATTACTTTCACATTTCTCAAAAAAATTTCCGTTTAATTCTTTTGATAAATTGACTGGAATTGCTTTCTTTTCTTACCCTGTGTTTTCCGACTTGTTTAGTGCATTGGCACTGTGTGCCGGGATTCTCGGCCGGAGCGATCACCTGTCAACTAGTCTGCCTTATTGTAAATTTGTAGAACAATTGTTATAAACATGGCACTATATGGAGAATATTGATTCTTAGGGCACTGTAAAATACTTTTTTTTTTTTTTTAAACTGTGCTTGAATTTCAATGTAAACCACTTATTATAGGCTATACAGTACTATCAACACAAGCAAATAATCTCATTCTAAAGAAGTACCCTATTTTCCTTTAAGTTTTTCTCTGTTAATTTTCAGTGTGTCTTTATGGTGTGCTGTTCCTCATATTCCTAGTAGGGTGTAGTGTTATTCCCGAGAGGCGCATTTGTTATTGATGTCGCGTGAAAATGGCTGCATACAAACAGAAATCTGGAATCAGCTAAGTATGAAAATATTGCTCTGAAAATTTCAAAGTTTACAGTACAGTATATGTAAAGTTAGTCTCTGGATTAACACACAGGGCTGAGATTTATCAAGCATTTACACAACTACTTACAAAACATGTATATCTCTCCTTAACCCACCCCCCCCCCCCTCCCCCCCTGTTTGAATATATGAAAAAAAAATTGTCAAGTTTTGAGCTTCAACACTTCACAAATTAAGGTTATTATTGTTATAAACAACCTTGTAGTACTTTAGAGCTCATAAACTATGTAATGAATGTAAACTAAGCCGTCTTTGATTAAGGAAAGTGGTTGTGTAAATTCCTTTGTAAAATAAGCAAGTAAATTAAGGAAAGTGGTTTGGTAAGTGGTTGCATAAATGCTTGATGAGTCTTGGTCCTGATTGGGCATTTCAACAATTTATACATACTGTGTAGTACAGTATTCACATACAGGTTCACATTTATCTCTGATGTTCTTGAATCTCTGCATGTCCTATTCCTGTGAATTTTCCGGATTACCCCTGAACCACTACATCCTATTGGCAGAGTGAGCGAGCTCGTAAATATTGATGTTGGCAGATGAAGCAGAGTTAATGAGGAGAATAAGAACTGAAGAGAATTGTAGGGTGCTCCAAGAAGGTCTCAATAAACTTCAGGAGTGGGCAGAAAATGGCTGCTGGAATTTAATCCAAGTAAGTGTAAAGTTATGAAAATGGATAAGGGAGATAGGAGCCCTGTGTGTAACTATGCCATAAGGGGAATGCAATTACAAGACACGGTATGAGAAAAAGACCTGGAAGTAGACGTAATACCAACACCTGGCAGCAAAAGTTCACGTGAGCAGGGTAATGCTAGCAGCATATGGGAAGTTAGCAAACAAGAATATTTTTGAAGAATCTACAGGCCATGCACACTATGTGAGACCATTACTTTATTGTACAGCACCAGCATGGAACCCCCTCACCTTGTGAAGCACAAAAAAGTTTTAGAAAGTTCAGAGGTTTGCCACTAGATTAATACCAGAATTGAGAGGTCTCGGCTATGAGGATAGGTAGAGCAAACTCGTCCCCTCACAACCTAAGAGGAGATAAGAGGTGGGATATGATCACTATATAAAAGATTTTGAGAATAAACAAAGTGAACAAAGGAAGCCTAATTAAATTAAAAGGGGTAGGCCAAGGAGACATCAATGCAAGCTGTGTACACAATTGAGTCATAGAGATGCAAGGAAGTTCTCGTTCCCTGTATGAGTGATTGGCATGTGGAATGCATTGCAGGAAGAGGTTTTTGAAGCCAATTCCATCCACAACTTTAACAACAAATATAACAATGTTAATGTTGAGAGGTAGAACACCAGGTTCATTTGTTCACCAGGTACAAATGGCTAGGAGGTTGGGCATGAAGATCTAGCTCTTGTTCCCCTATAGCCTCTGTTAAGTCTACGCTGTTGTTGACGGTGGTCTGTGCTTGTTCCACATTGTTGTTTGTAGGGATCTGTGCTAGGTCTACACTGTTGGCAGAGTTCCCTGCTTGGCCTAGTCTCGTATCTTCAGCAAATACAAGATAGTCTTGTACTTCTGCAGAGTTCCACGCATTGGCCTGTTGGGGTTGGCTTCAGCGATCTGACTGGAGCTGTTTCTAACAGTGCTGTTCATGGTTGTCCCATCTCTTGGAAACAAATTCCTTCTTTGATTTCTACACAGTCATTTATAACACAATTGCAACCATTGAAAGGGTAAATGGTTAGCTGTCTGCAACCATTGTAGGGGTAAATGGTTAGCTATTTCGAATGACAAATTGCATACCATTAAGTGTGATTTATTCCTGTAACCGCCTTCCAGAAATCAGGGAAACATCTCTGATTTATTAACCTCCTTGTAGGATGTTCTGATTTTCAGAATCTGAAAGTTTTGTTTTTTTTTACTTTCCTTCAGTCATATGTCCCTTGACAATCCTCGGTGAATTCGATTCTTTTAACATGTCTTGTATACCATATAGCCTTCCACAGACTTTATTTTGATAATTACTTGCCCGAGTCTTGAGTATTGTTAGAAATCCCATACTGACTCATGAATCAATCTGAAATAAGTCTTGTTTTGAATTCGGTGTTTCTGTTAACCTTAGATTTTTGTTCTGTATTTTCTCATACCATTTTTTTGTTTTAGTATCTTGAAAATGTGTATATTGCAGTGAAACAAAATACCCATGTTAGTCAAAGTATGGTTGTTATTGAAACGTGTAATGACTTCAATCTTATATCTTGAGGGGGTAGTCTTATTGTATGGCCTTAAAAATATAAGACACTTGTGTACAATCATAAAACTGAGCTACTTTTCATTATCAGGTATTGTAGTCCTACCTGTTGAAAATTGCAGGGATCAATGTCCCTGTAGCCTGGTGTCTGACTAGGCCTCCTGGTTGCTGGTCTGCTCATTCAGGGGGTTTGATGCAGCTGCTTGCCACCTGATGTATGAGTCACAGCCTGGGTGATCAGGTATTCTTTGAAGGTACTTGAAGAATTCCCTTTTGAACACTGTAAAAGGTCGGCCAGTTGTGCCCTATATGTGTAGGGAAAGAGTAAACGTGCCTATTGCGCCTCTGCTTTTCAGTGGGGTTATTTGGCACATTCTGCCATGCCTTCTGACCTCATGTGGTCTTATTTTTCTCTGCTGATTTGGAACCAGTTCTTCTAATATTTTCTAAGTGTAAATTATTATATATCTCTCCTGCCTTTACTCTAGGGAATACAGATTTAACATATTTAGGGGTTCCAATAATTTAATGTTTTATCGACTTCACTCGATAAAACATTACTCGGTTTGTTTTATTTCCAAGGGTACCTTTGTACTTTAAATAATTCTGGGTCATTCTTTAGAAAAACACAGGAATTTTGTTGTCAACCAAAAGGAGACTGATTTTTCTCTTTGATCTTGATACTGGTTAAATGAGAAAAATGAAACACTAAAATGACATTGAAATACATTTGCATGTGATTAAAGTTAGCTTATTTATCACTATCTCTTGCAGAACCCCTCGTTACCTTGGGGTTCTGCAAAACCCCGGTTAAGAAATGGTGCTTTAGAGGTTGATAGACCTGAAGCTGAACACCAGACCAAACCCTCCTCAAGACCATGGCTTCATTATGACTCGATGAGTGACAATTTTAAGGTTTTCTAGCACCCTCGTTTAACAAGGGGAACAGTTAATCCTCATGCTGTATGCAATTGCATCCAAAGACTACTATGCTAGCTGTTGGTCAGTCAGATCATTGGGTCAGGCCAGTAACTACATGGGTGACCACAGTCACACTTATGGCTGGGATGACCTTGACAAACAGTCTTAGGCAGCATAAACATGCCATAAACAGCGATTCCCTCAGACTTAAAATTTTAGCCGTTCTTTAAACACAAGTATGTTCACTAAGATAGGTCATGTGAGCCTTGAGATGCGGGGGATATATCAGTCATATGTCTTGGAGGGCAAGTATACTGGGTTGTGTGTCTTGGAGATTGGGTATACCGAGATGTTCATCTGTACATTGTACAGTACAGTACAGTACAGTATTAACCAATCAGAGACCAGTGCCTGGAGGTGGTATCACCAACGCAAACCCTGCTGTTCATACCAGGTGGTCTGTCAGCATGTACTATAAGGTATAGAGGCAAGGCCTCAGTGCAAACCTATGTACAACAAAACCGTAAAAGAAGGTCTACATCAATACCAACAGGCATTAAAGCAATGATAAAGTGCACACAATCTTAGGATAATTGTTGGGTGTCCTGGAGGTGTTGTGGTATATCAAATCATATGTCCTGGAGGTTGGGTATACCTGGTCCTGTATGGCATTATATTTTGCACATGCACTTTTGTAATGAGAACATAAAAATGGAATTATGCTAGCTTAGTAGCAGAACTTTACATCCACGCCAAGCTAATCCTTGGTATCTGTCCAACACGCATGCCTTGTGACCGCTAGTGTAAATTGACTGTTTATAATTAAGAGCTTCAGAAAGTAATGTATTTGTGGTCACAGTGACCAGGATGGTCAAATTACTCTGGGAGTAGAGCAGATGTAGTTAAAGAAGTGTTTAGCCAGGCTCTGGCAGACAGGTAAATATTGAATTACTTTCATGATATTTTCCACAGTTATCTTGATGTAGTTCTTTGCAGAAAATGCTGTAGCTAATGTTTGGCTATGTAGCAGAATTTGTTGGACAACTTTAAATTGTGTACATTTACAACTAGTGGCAGCGGGCTGTTGTAAGCAACAGTCAGACAGAGCATGTTACTGTATTACAAGAACAAACCTGACTTGAGGCCGGGCTTGGAGAATAGAAGCCCTTGCAAAACAGACTACAGGTAAAACTCCAGATAATAGATTTGAAAAGTTGCATTTAGAAATTTCATTTTGTAGGAATCAAAATTCTTGATTATTGTAATGAGAAGTGGTAATTTGGGTAAAAGAAAGAAGCTTCAAGTAATAGTTTCTCTCTGGGTCATAGTGTATAATTCAGTGTACTAAATAGACTACAATGAAGCTGAAGAATTTGTGAAGCAATAGTACTGTTCATTTGGTGACTACAGTGATCAGTTTCAGAGATTTATGTGTATATATGATCAGATATTCTGATCAAGCAATTGGAGTTTACAAAATCCCGGTTACCGATCATATCTGCTGTAAGACCGTATGTAATGATCTTGGTTTTGTTTATATTTATCAGTGCAGTGTTGTCACTGGTGTTTTTGGAAACAAGTTATCTTAGTGGAGTTTTGCTATACTTTGACCATGAAAATGAGTTGTGTGCATTGTTGTGCGGGACTCATTTCAACGGTGTAAAAATTGGTGCTTACAATAAGTGTAAATGGTTCTTACAGCCTTTGAGGTTTACGTTAGAATACAGTACCAACATTGTTTTCAATTTTCAATTTTATTTTAATATTTCTTGCTAAGGTAGCACAGTAATGAGAGAGAATGTCTTAATAATTTTCTTTGCTTAGGAAGGTGCCAAATTTTGAGATTGTCAGGTGCTGGATATAAGGGTTGCTGCTGTTGCTGTTTGAGCATCTTGTAACACCAACTTTTCATCTGTATATTTATATAAACCTGTTAAAAAAATGAAAGGTTGTATTTTTTCTCGCTCGCCCCTTTGCATGAAAAGGTGTTAATGACTGAAGCAGATGTCTCATTGTTGCAAAGGTATAAATGGAGGAGGCATTCTCGAACCACCAAAAATTTGCACATACTGTACATACATTATGCATGTATGTGTGTGTGTACTCAAATAATTGTTTGTGGGGATTGAGCTTTAGCTCTTTGGGCCGGCCTCTCAACCATCAATCATCTGGTCTACAGATTCTAGAGCCTATTGAGGGGAAGGTTAATCTTTGGCCTGGGGGGGACCATAATGAGCCTAAGTACAGACTTTCTATCCCCAGCGATGGGTAACAATGAAACCTATTATAGTAATCTATCTGCAAAAAGTAATGTTTATCTGCTGCTATACAAAGTTATCTGGCCTCCAGATGCTTGAAGGCCAGGCTATCTTCAAACTTTGTATGGGTGGCTGGTCTTTATCCTGGTTGGTCATACAAAGGTCAAGATCAAGCCTCTTGGGTTCCACCCCTTCCCTTTGCGTAAACTGGCAAATGACACCAATTTCCAATATCGCTAAATACCCGACATTATCCATCCTTGTCAAGATTCTTCCAGCATATTATTTTCTACATAATGATTAAATGTTAGTTTGTCTTGCATAGTTTATTGCAAACAGTATTTTGCGAAAATGGTTACAGGGATAAAGGGGCAAGTGGTGAAGAGTGATGCAGGGTAGGTACGTTGAAGGACAAGGGGAAGGTTTTGATGGTTAGGGAGAATGGTGAGGAATAGGGAAGGTGCTAGTGGTGATATAGTTGTAGATGGAGGTACCTAGGTAATGGGTAACCTGGGTAGTGAAAATGATTATAGCAATGAAAACAGTATGTAGTGAAGATGACTACGGTAATGAGATTGGGCAAGTGTAGTTTATAGATGATTAGTGTAGGTGATGTAGTTAAGATGAGAATATTGTGTGTAGGGAAGATGGTTACATATGAGGATAAATGGTGTGTACTCGCTCACCTAGTTGTGTGCTTGTGGGGCTTGAGCTCTGGCTCTTGGGTCCTGCCTCTTGGCCATCGGTCTACTGGTGTATAGATTCCTGAGCTTCTCTAGCTCTATCATATCTACATTTGAAACTGTGTAATGAAGTTGTGGTGCCTGTTGCCTGAGCAATGGTGAGTATTTTCTCAAGTGAGGTTATATGTTACATTTTTAGAATTTAATGGTTTCTGATGCATTATTATTAATGAGTAGATAGACAAGTACTTCTGGTGAAATTTAAATGAAATAGTAGAATATTTTGCTCTTTTATAATGCATTTTTTATAACTTTTTATCAAACTCCAGTCTCCAGTCCAGTTAGCAGTCTCCGTGGTGTAGTGGTAAGACACTCGCCTGGCGTTCCGCGAGCGCTATGTCATGGGTTCGTATCCTGGCCGGGGAGGATTTACTGGGCGCAATTCCTTAACTGTAGCCTCTGTTTAACGCAACAGTAAAATGTGTACTTGGATGAAAAAACGATTCTTCGCGGCAGGGGATCGTATTCCAGGGACCATAGGATTAAGGACTTGCCCGAAACGCTACACGTACTAGTGGCTGTACAAGAATGTAACAACTCTTGTATATATCTCAAAAAAAAAAAAAAAAAAAAAAAAAAAAAAAAAAAAAAAACTGTTCTTTAAGAATAATATGCTAAAAAAAATGGCTGATTAAGGATAATGGGTTAAAAAGCAATCAATTCTAATAATTCAATTTTATTCATTACTGTATATAAAGCCTGTTCTTGTTATAACCATAATTTTTGTGTTGTGTAGCCTTCCCCCTTCTTATATGACCTGCTTCCAACTGGATAGAGCAAAAGCACGGTTGATATAGGCCACGGCAACACTGCTTGGTCTGGTCAGGGTGCTCACCACTAACAGTAAGGCACTTTCCTTCGTTAGTTCCCTTAGCATAGACTTGACATGTGAACACCACCGTTGCAATAAGTCGGGAGTAACATCATGCATATCTGTAATCATTTTTTTTACCTGCAGTACATCCTTCACTTTTTGTCTGTTTAGTGTATTTTTTTTAGTCATCAAAATCTATTTACGTGGGTAAAAAGAAACCAATGTAAGTTTATATTTAGGAAATGCATTAAGAAGCATTTAAACACTTAACACCTTTATTTTGCTTACACTCAAATAATACATTTTACAGAGCATTAAATATTATATACGACAATTGACAGCACATGTTGCCTTAAGAGTAGCAGCGAGCAAGTGACAAGGTGTTAACAAGAACTTTTGGTAATTTGTTTATTATTTAGTATAGGGTACAGAATAATTGTACAAGTTCAACACAGTGTTCAGCAAGGGAAGTATACAGCATTCAAAATGCTGACCAGGAATACATATGCACTATTTAATATGCACAAAATCCTCAACGCTTTGCTTAACACACACACAGACACAGACACACACATACACACATATATACACAGTACACACACTGTAATCAAGTGGAGAGACAAGCGAAATGTTAAATTGTTCAGCATATACATGGTCTTCTAAATTACAAAGAAAAAATAAATTCATTAAAGGTACATGTTAAATGACCAAACTATGAGAGATGTTCATGACATGATACTTTGAACAATGTAGCCCAATGTGAGTAGAATTATGTTCATTCAGCAGGTGTGCTCACTAATTGAACCACTGTAGAATATAACTTGAATTCAGTGCTAAATATTCATCAAAGAACACTAGGGGAAATGGAAGCCTGATTTGTTTAAAGGAAACCATGCATAATTAACTTTATAGTCTTGTATATTTGTTGACCATCATCCATAATTGTTCATTTCTTATACTGTAGCAAAATTGTAATTTCCTCTCACTAGGAAGTAGATACAGTAGTGTCACTATTTACCATGGTGTTAACTTCGTTCAATAAACTATAAGTAGCAAAAGCGACATTTGCCCAGATGTTGTGATTGTTTTAACAAAAAATTCATTGTTTAGGAATAATTAATAACCAGAAAATGTAAGTTAAAGTATTTAATAAGAATTCATTAGTTAACTTGTCTTGAGTGTGTGACAGAGGGAGGATTGGGAAGGAGATCTTTTCTTGGCAGAATTTTTTTGGGTGCTTGCCACAGGTAAGAATGTTGGGGAGCGATGTAAGAATGCTTTGCTGTGCTGCCTACCTCTGGAGGCTAGCATCTTCACACCGGGCTTCTACGCTATTTTGTATGTCTCTTGTAGATTGCTTTTCTGTCATCAGTGCTTCTTTGTCATAGTGGATTAGCTTGTAGAATGTTAATTAATTGTTCTCTCATAGTGCTCTCATAGCTTTGGAGTCATTTCACCCTATACATCCTGTAATAATAGAAATCTAATAATGGCTGTTTTTAATATCTAGCAGATTTAAGTAGGTTGAGTTTTGCTGGGATTCGTCATATTTGTTCTAACCACATTGTCCCTCTTACAGCCGTACATATGTGTGTTGAATATCCTGATTTCCAGGACATTTTTGGTCGAAGGGGGAGTAGAAGAACTCCCGAAAAACTCTCCAGGTATGCTTATACAGTACCTTGCTTCCAACCTGTCCTTCATGGTGAGGTTGGAATGGTCAGGTCCCTCAATAGCGTCCTTTGTAAATCAGATTCCTTTGATATCATTCACCTTATGCGCTTTTGTTCTCGTACTGGCATCCTTAGTGATATTTAGCACCTTTTGAATATTTTGCCACTTTGATGGTGCTACATAGTCTTCCTGGCATGATGTCTTCTTTTGATAATTACTTTGTTTTGCAGTCTCGGTGATTTATTTGTTCGCTTGCATACTCCCTCCTCTTG